AGGTGCTCCATCACTGCAACCTTCACTGTTAATGGAGAAAGTGTCACATGGTGCCATTTTCTGTTCCCTTCGTGATCTTTGTTACAGCAGCAATTTATCAGAACTCTGGACAGAGAGACCTTTTTGTCCTGTGAGCAGCATGGCACTGCTATTTCCACATTCCAAAAATACCTTGTGACTAGATAACTCTGTTTTCCTCTCAGATAGCACAAGCACACAGACTTGAAAGCTGACATGCTCACTGCTGGTTAGGAGGTGCTGAATACACACAATGCCACAACGCTGGCGTGAATCACCCCTGCACAGACAGTGCAAATATCTTTGGCTTAAGTGACTTAACTCTCTTACATGGCTGTGATGAACTGCTTTTCATGATTTTTTTTTTTCTGTCAAATCTAGCTGAGAAATTAACACATCTTTGCTGAAGTTCTAAGTAATATACAGTACAACAAAAGGCAAAGTTGCTCCTGTTTGCAACACATTTGTTTTGCATCAAATTGGCCTGCTGCTGTAGTCTCAGCCAATGCAATTTTTCAAATCTGTAGAAAGTATGATTCTTCTTATACACGGATGGTTACTCATCACTTAAAAAAAAAATCCACCAAAATTGCTAAATTGACTTATATAGCCTTACATTAAGCACTTTAATGAACCATGCAATAGGCTTAGAGACATACCCTGCTAATAACTATCAGCCTGGCAACTAGCTAAAAGAATGTCAAATATTTATAAATCTCTAAATCCATGATGAAGCAATGAACTGATACATCCAGAAATGCATGCTATAAATACGACACATTATCTCCAACTTGTCAGTGGCCATGAGGCAGAGCAATGGAAGAAGCGATCCGTATAATAACAAACAAATCATAGAATCATTAAGGTTGGTCAAGTCCAACTACCAACCCATCTCTACCATGCCCAGTGACCTTTTCCTCAGTGCCACATCTCCACAGTTCTTGAACACCGCTTCAGGACTCCACCACTTCCCTGGGCAGCCTGTGCCAGTGCATCACCACTCTTTCTGAGAAGAAATTTTCCTAATATCCAACCTGAACCTCCTATGATGCAACTTGAGGTCATTTCCTCTGGTCTTATTGCTGTTACCTAGGAGAAGAACCTGGTCTTCACCTCCCCACAACTTCTTTTCAGGCAGTTGTAGAGAGCAATAAGGTCTTTCCTAAGCCTTCTCTTCTCCAGATAGAACAATCCCAATTCCCTCAACCAATCCCCATCAGACTTGTGCTCCAGACACTTCACCAGCTTGGGCACACGCCAAAGATTTCTGCAGTTAGATTTCTTGCTGGATTTGCTGTCCAATTATCCCTTGCCAAAATAAGCAATCAAACAAACAAAATCAAACCAGATAAAATGAAGATAAAGGACTGAGTTCTATAAAATACACGTTTGCAGTTTCATGGATTTCATGCTTAATTTAACTTAGCTAAAATGCTTCCGCTGTAACAGGAAAATGAATAAAAGTCTTATACCTAATTTTCCTCACACAGTATTGCCAGTTTCATCATTTAGAAATCACTCTTCAGATTAATGGGGTTTAAAAACAAATACTGGCTAAAAATTTGAGGAAGGTCATTTACACTGTTCAGCAGTGTCTGGCATGAGCAAACTCAAGTCTGAAATACATTCATTGAGAATAAAGCAAGCTTAATCAACTCTACTCATTAGTAAGGATTTATCTGCTTAAATCAGATATTAAGATGCTGTTGCTTATAAGTACACCCCTAATCACAAGTTAATTTAAATTTCCCTAAAGGTAAAGCAATGACTTTACAACGGTTGATTAATGAGAGACCACATTTTAATGTAGAAAGTAATTGTCCTTAGAGCTAAAATAAGTAATTACAAGAGAAATCAACCATGTAGTTAGATCATTGAAATACACCTGCAATTATAATTATACAATAATGCTGCCTTCATTAATCAAATATGTTTTAATAACCTCACAAAATATTGGAATGGTTTTATACTGAAGGAGGGGAAATTTAGATCAGATGTCAGCTAGAAGTTTTTCATGGAAAGGGTGGTGAGATGCTGGCACAGGCTGCCCAGAGAGGTTGTGGATGCCCCATCCCTGGATGTATTCAAGGCCAGGTTGGATGGGGCCAGGGACAACCTGAGGTAGTACTAGTCAAGCAGCTGACAGCCATGCCTGCAGCAGGGGGAACAGAACTAAATGATCTTTGAGGTCTCTTCCAACCCAAATCATTCTATTATTCAATGATTTAATCACAAAATCATGGTGTAGTTATATGGCATGCTCCCGTTATCTCATTAGCAGCACTAATGAACCCAAAAATCCTGTACTGATAGTTATACTCAATGATTTTGAATGTATTTTCCAACTTGAAGAATTCTATGATTTTGTACTGCTCATGATACTACTTCACTAAGCCAAGACAGTTCATTCACAACTAGTTGGTGCATCTCTACGCAGCATTGTAGTGCATCATGTAATCATATCCTTGGAGAAACAAAGGCAATTTATTTAAAAAAAGAAGAAAAAAAAAAAAGAGAAAAGACAGCACAGATCCACAGAATCCACAGATTCAGCAATACCAGTATATATCCTATGTGAACAATGTAACACTTGCATGACACAACAATGTCTGAACAATTAAACATTCTACTATTTACATCACATGCACATCAACACAAATCGATAGTTAAAGCCTTCCAAACACATAATTGAATGAAATGAGGTATCTGCATCCTCCTCACTTTGTGCTGGCTTCAGGAAGTAAGTCCTTCCTGTCACACACTTCAGAACAGAAGAGATATAACCATGGCTCTGTGAGGTTCATAGCTTTTTTTACACAAAATCATTCTCCAGTGACTGGGAAACATAGACAGACCTAATTCTAGCTTTCTAGCAGCATAAAAGCATGGACGTATCTCTACAGGTATGTATACATGCCAGCACCATATAAACCTTCTTCACAAGCTCCCAAGGTTTTTGTGTGATATAAAAACATTTTCCCCCAAAGCAAATGTCTGAAAGTGTCTGGCTGCTGAAGGATTCCATTCTTCATATCATTTTGGAATGTACAGCTAAATTATACAGCATCTGATGACATATCACATACCTGGTTGCAGTTTGTTAGTAATCTTCTCCAAGTATTTTGGAGATAAAACCAAAAATCTATCCTTAAAAACACTCTGCTCATTAGAACCATTCGCACTGCATACTATTTGCCTACTCAATCATGTCCAAAAAAACAGGCTATCATGAAACAACAGTTTTAAAATCTGCCTATAATCTCTTTTGAAAACAGATTTACAACAGATCTTTATCATTAAGTTCTAATGTCATGCATAGTAATATGGCAGTATATTCAAAGCCATTTGAAATAAATATCTGACTTAACGACACTGGGAAATGGATATGCTGCTGCTTCGTAGAAAGAGAAACAAACTTAAAGCCTCACAGTTATAATGATGGCTATATTTAGTGCTTGCTGATAGCATCCTAACTGCTGTTTTCCTTTATCTATACAACTGACACTTCACTGTTTTTGCCAGAATTTTTCTCCAGCAGTAAATCCTTTATGCTACATAGACTACAGCTATTTTTAGAGACAGTCAGTTTTAATGACTACAGATCTCTGTAGTTAGTCCACCTTCTTCTTGCATATCATCTCTCAATTAAAACAAGTGCATCCCCAAAGAACTTTGAATAGGTTGAATTAACAAACTATTTAAGTGAAGCAGAAGCAAGCCAATCCCCTATGAATACAGAGTCTGTAATTAGCCAAAATACTCAATGTTCGCGTGAAGACTGAGGCTCAATAAAAATTAAACACTCATGAAGACCAAGCACTCTTATGGGGCTTACATATATTAATACGTTATCACTCACCAGTTGCTTTATGTCTTTATGTTTTATTTTTCTTAAACTGGGACGCAGCTTGAAAATGGCTTGCTGCCAATTTGACAAAAATGGAAAGCTACTGGTGATAAGTATTGTTTCTTCTTGTCACATTCCTAGTGCCTCACCCTTGCTAAATAAGTACTTGAGTATGGCTCTTAAAAACCACACGCTCATAATCGTGACAAGCAGGAACCACTCAAGTTCTGAGCTGAGAATGACAATTCATAGATTGAGCATGGTCACAGTTAGATCTCTGGAACATCCCAAGAAAATAAACCTTAGCACTGGTTTTCCCCAAACCTCCAAGGATGAGGCCATCAGCTTATTAAAAAAAAACACCAGGATTTAATTCTTACCTTGATTAGGGGGATGCAGTCAGTGGTCCATATTTCAAGTGTTATCATTTTTTAAGCAAAAATGCTCAATAATTTAAGTGGCTCCATTACTATCCTGGTGAATTTATAGAAACTTGAATATAGGGAGTAAAATGTTTAGGAACAATGATTATTTTGACTTTATTAGTACAGAGTCAGGAGAACAACAAATGTTTATGAAAGACCTCTTTCAAGCTACAGAGGAAAGGTGCAACGTATGACCATATCAATCCTACATTTTATCAACTCATTCAGTTTCCTGAGAAACTGAGGCATCAATATGTGCTTGATTGAGTTAAAGTAAATGCTGTATCAACTTTTTCATTAATCAATTCAAAAACTTAATTATTAAATATATAGCTAATAAAATGCTTAATTCATCAAACAGCAAGCCCTAATCAAAAACTGTATGATCACTACGATCAGATGATAGGACTATTAACATCTCAAGCTGCAACTGCAAAATGATTCACCACCTTCCAAAAGCACATTCCAAAATGAATGGGCAATGTTCTGAAACTTCAGTTCTTATCTAGAAATCCTCTACTTATGTTAACTTTATGTAATTTGTCTCCGTCTATTCTTACAAGGTCATCATGAATTCTACTTCCGCAGTAGAACTCAGCCTTTCAGTAGGGAGTGAGGATCATTAAAAAAAAAAGAAAATGAAGGCAGATAATCACTCAGTGGCTTTAATTCTCATCCAATTAATAACTCTTGGGCTAGTGTATGCTCACCTTTCGCAGGAGGAAGCAAATACGTTCAATATTCCTCAGCCGCTCTCTCTGTTAAGAAAAAGTAGGGAAAGAGGTAGAAGATTAGCTGGTGCTATAAATTAAAGATATTACCAGTATATAGTGAGTCAAAATCATAATTATTGGCTGTAAAGATGCAACATTATTCATCTGAACCAACTGTATTCGCTTCTGATGTACTGCCTACAAGTCAAACAATCTGCTCATTTCCAAGTCCCAATGTTATTTTTTTTCATCTGTTACTGAGCATAGCAATAAAAACAGGGGTTTCAAGTCTGTGTTAGCTGTGAGTCAGAAGCTCAAGTCAGCGTTTGTGACTCTAACCATTGGTGCCAATGTACACCACAGAGACCTGGCCTTGCATTTTCAGGTACTCAATTTTGGCCTCAAGACATTTCTGAATGGGAAAAACAACTGCAAAGTTCACGTGGTAGTTCTTCTGCTCTCACTAATAGAGTACCTGAGCAACATGATATTACAATTTAATTTCTGCAAAATCAGCATATCTTGCAATTCCCAGTGAGTTCATGGGGGCAAGTTCTGCTGTCAGCTATAGTGATACAAATCTGATGCATGTTTAATTGGAATTAGCAAAATAATTTTGGATTACAGCTTTCACAGGAAAAAAAAAAAAAAAAAAGAGCTTTCTTCTGCTACAATCTGGGTTGCATTTTGGATCATTAGGTAAAACTGAGTTTACAGTCACATGGTGACATTTAAACTTTCACATAACAAATGTAACAGAATGTGTTATTTACTCTTCAAGCACAGGAGAACAGCCCTGCTCTGGGACAAACACATCTAGGAAATGCACTTCTTATCAAATCTCTTCAAAGATTTTGACTGATTTTTACAGACGGTTTTGTGAAAGGTCATCAAGCCACGCTGGAAAGCAGAGAAAGCAAATGGTTTTTAAAAGGAAAACTGGTGCCACAGAATCAAAAGAAAGTTCTAGCATCACATTAGGTGTCTTTTAGGTTTTAAAATTCCAAATTGTTTTCCTACTTCTTTCAGCAATTAGCAAAGTTATCAGAATAAAGAACCACCATCTGGTTTCCCAGGTCTAGTCCAACACATCTATTCACCAAACTAGAACTGACTTCACAGCAGGCTCTGTGCTCCCCTCCACACTCATGCTTTGACGTATGGCTCAGTGTATCTCCTCCTGTTTAGTAGCTGTTGCTTAGCACACCACTGGTTGTACTCACTGCGTGGGCTGGGTTGCACTGATCTATTGGGCTTTTGAAGTCCGTCCGTAGCTCATCAAAGGCAATTATCTGAAAAACATTTTTTTTCAAACATTGCAATGACTGTTCAAACAAATACTTCTTTTTCTATTAGCAGCTAGTTAGAAGGATGGCCTCATTGCCTCCCTTTCTTCTGCTTCCTGAGAAAATATGGGAACCTAGCTTCCTAATACACTCCTTTCAGATCTAATTCATTAAAATGAAACGTGGAGTACTCCCATAGACAAAATCTGGAATCCATTAATCTTTGTCATACTGTAAAACCACATCTGCAGCTTTTCCAGCATGGTTTTCCATGTTTCTGCCCTTAGACTTCATTCTCAAAATGTTAAAAGATGTTAAACTACTTTCCAAACAAATGCATCTTTAGACCTGATGGAAAAAATCACTAACTGCCTAACACACAGAGTCGCATCAGATACAATGCACCAGGCTTAATGCATATACAACAGACTCCTCTTATCAGTTGTTGAACTTACTTCAGATATTAATTCTGAATTAGTGTTGTCTTTATTATTAAGCTGCTATTCGTTATCAAGCACTCTAAAGAAAAGCATGCCCTACCTCAATTGCAGCAGGTTTTGGAACACTTACCTCAGACATCATTAATGGAGGGAAAGCTTTTGCACAGGTGCTTTAGTTTCATCCATCAGTTGATGGATCAGCTGGTAATTACTGCCTGCTTTTACAGCACAGCATAAAAGTACCCGTTAAATAATAATATGTGATAATGTTTTCTTGGAAATGAAACAGCTGTAATTGCCCTCAGCATATTTCATTCAAAGATCTCAAAGAGTGTTCTTAACTTCATGGCTGTATTTTATTAATACCTCTGCTGGCTACAATCAAGGAGCAGAGGCTCCCTGTGACAGGCACCACATAAAACACACAATAAAACAGTGATTCCTTTTTAGACAGTTTACAACTAGGAAAGTATTTGTATCCACTGAGAAGATGAGGTAGCAGCCAGGTAATTGGTATATGAGTGCAGCAGTCGTTCTGTGTCATGTTCAAACCCAGTAACTGAGGAGGGATCAGAACAGACCTGCTGTATAGTTAACACACATTCATTTTACAGATATGACATGCAGCAACAAGAAGTCTGAAAATGAGCTGTCCATGACTACCATCATAATCTGCCGAGAGATCTGAGGGTAAAACCCAGTTACCCTAATGCTGCATTCATCATGCTGGAGCACATTTAAAATCAAAAGTGGGGCATTTTGTGGGAATTCTACAGAATTCAATTTATTCCACTGTGACAAGTCATATGCCAGAATAAACCAAAAGAACTATAAAGCATGATTATAAGTGAAGGATTTCTCCCCATTAATGTAATATCTCTGGAAGTCAAAATTCAGATCAGCAACAAGCTGTTAGGTGAAAGTGCAAAATAACAGAGACTGTGAGATGGTCATAATACAGCTGTGAGGAATAAGGCTCATTATAATTCTATACTTAATACTTCTTGAGCAGCTCTTCATTTACTCAAGCTGGGCAAACTGTTAGGAAGGTAATGACCGTGCAAGACGCTTGTTTGTAATTGGGTGTTGATGTGGGCACTGGCTGCATCCCGTAAAGGGAGAAGGTAAGGGGGTGCCTCTGTTCACAGCTCTGCCACAGATCTACTGTGCATCTCCCCTGAATTGTCTTTGCCTCACTGCACCAGTACTTACAGATGTCATTTTAAGACAGGAAAGCATTAGGAGATTTGAATGACAACTCTTTTTAATGTACCATGGAAACGGGTGTTGCAAATACAGAGATGAGCTCAAAATTTCCTTGAAACGAGGAAATAAACAAGCCCTGAGTGAATTTGCTGTGCTGTTCCTTTTGGTAGTCAGTAACAGCAAGGAGTTTGAGAAAATAATGAAATGGCAGTCAGCAAGAGCCAGCTCATAGCTCCCTGTTCACTGCAGGGAGATGGACTAGGTGGCCTATAGTGGTCCCTTCCAACTCAAGAGTTACTATGATTCTTCACTGGAAGGGACGACTGATCCGAGACAATAACATGGAGAACTGGAAACACTGGAATAATGAGGTGGACCCTATTCCACAAGGAGTCCAAAAAAGGCTTCAAAGCTTCACTGAATGTAGAGGTTTGATGGTAACGCTGGAACACGTTTAGATGCAGAAGTAGGTCATTTTGAAAGACAGAACCATTAAAGGCAGGGCTCTGTTGAGCAGGCCTTACCTAATGCAGAAATCTTGGAGAAATACTAAATGACAGTTTGTAAATGAAATTAACTTCAAATATGCTACATTTTTAGACTTCCTGCTCTCCCTCTCTCTCCTTTCTTCATTCTTTCTCCAGCAGCATCTTCAGCTCCACAGACAAACCCCTGCTCCTTATTTGCTGGCAAGCAATTCATTTTTCATTATGCCTCCATAATATCTAAAAGCACTGAAATGAATCAGAAACTATTAAGCATATGGCTTTCTCCAAATCAATAATTCCAAATACAACAGTCTATCAGGCAGACCACTTGGGATTACACCTGCAAATCATGACAATTTTAAGATACATTTTTATTACACCTGCCTGAAATAGACTGAGAATTTGTATCAAGCGCACAGAATAAGGGGAAAGTTTCTTCAGCAAAAGTTTCAGTCTTGCTCTGGAAGGAGGCAGACAGAAATAACTCCCCCTAATTCTTAATGTTTTACTTTCATAATAGTTTATACTTTGTTAAATCCAGAGGAATGGAGATCCAGTGATTACAGGAAGATACCTTCTTTCATTCATGAAAATAGTGTATTCCTATTTGTCGTTCACAGTGAAAAGCTATAAAGCAGTGTTAGGCAGGTTCACAACTAGAAGGGATCTAAAGAAGCTCCCTTTTTTTTGTTTGTTTGGTCAATTGGGTTTTTGGATTGCTCTCAAGTCATCCAATTTCTAAAGCCACAGACAGGAAATAATGGAAGCAAAACTGTTTTCTTAAGATTGGTGGCTGCACACAGTACAGTCTGTAACCGTAAAACAAACCATGTTGCATTAGAGGTGGGCTGTGCTGCTGAGTAGTTTGCATAATCAATTAGTAAACATTTTGCTCTTCCAATTACAACTAACCTTGCGTAGAAGTTCAGTGCTGTAGGGTATTGTGTGGTTGGAGTTGCCATTTAACCCTACAGAAAAACAAATAATTAACTACTTGCCATTATTACGTATTTCACGGGAGGTGTGGGGTTCTGGCCATACTCCAAAGAAACCAATCTGCTGCCCAATTATTCATACATTTCAGCTTGATGCAGTATAGCTACCTGCTTTCCATACAGAGCCCATCAGAGATGCTTATTGCTATGGAACAGCACTTGAGTGTGTTTGAGGTCCACTTCACTTCAGAAATTGCCACATTTGTCAGTACCATGACAGAGCAGATTATTTAAAGGCAAGCAATGGAACAGATCCCAGTCAGGCATTGCCATCATTTAGCTTTCGTAAAATGAATGTATTTTAGAAACTGTTCTGCATCTTGTTTGATCCAGTGTGGCAATTTAGACATACACACATGTGGGCATCAGTGACCTCATCTCTGCAAAGGCTGGGCAACCAACACACTGTTCCAAAGGAAAACAACCAACTTCCAGTCACAGTGTCTAACAGAGAGCCACATGGTTGGCATTTTGGAAGCATACACCAGGGACTGATCTTAAACAGAGGAGAAGATTACCTACTTCAGTAAACGTTACTGTTGAACATGGCTTGATAGAATAAGGATCGTTTCATTTTTTTCATGTTTAGCAAAGACTTTAATCATTACTGCAAAAGGGGCAATGGATGCTGACTCACCCTCTGACTTGGAAAATTTTCCCTGATTCCACGCTGCAAAACACTGCAGGAAGTTTGCCCTACCACTGCCCTATCTGCACTTTTTTTTTTTCTATTGATAGAAATATGCTTGTGGGTGTTACCAGTCTAATAAAACTAAAGGTTTATACAATTCACAATTGCATTCTCCCATGATTCACATCATCTGCAAATCTCAAAGATCCAAGTGTAAGTCAGAAAGGAGTTCGCCCAGTTTAAACGTGCTCTGAACAGATGAGATGGGGATGACATCGTAGGTTTCAATACACCTACAATTGCATTCAGATTTACAAAACGTGCTTTAATTACCTGCACTCCCTGTGCTCATCTCTCTCAACAGCAACAGCTTTGAAGAACAAAATATTCAAATAGACAAAACCTGGATTTTGTCTTCTTACACTTATCCACACAAACTGAAAATTTCACCTATTAATGGCAGAAATTAATTATAACCTCTCAATTTTAGGGAAGGCTTTTTGTTTTTAAACCACTGAGCTCTCGAATAAACACTTTTCAATGGAGAATGAGAAGTTTTCAGGTGGTGGGTGGGGTTACTGTTCATTTGAATTCAGTGACAACAAAGGAGTTGGATATTACTGCTCATTGGTATCTTAGAAAAATTAAAATATATGTAAAACAGAACTTAGTGACAACCACACTAAGCACAGAACAGAACAGCAGCACTTAACATATGTTTCCTTGCCACTACCCTGCCAATCCTGTCCTGCAAAACTGTTGTTAATGGCTCATCTAAACATTCGTCTCCCCCTCTGCTCTCATGCACAGCTCCCACACAGGCAGCTCTTGGCTGTCTCCAAGTCAGCACATGGACAGAAGGTAGACAGGTTTAGGAGCACACTGTGCTTACGTTCATTTAATGCCTGCCCATCAGCTGCTGGATAGACATCTTTACCGTGTTTGGGAAATACTGTTGAACAATAATCATGTTTAAGCTACGCTGGGTAGTTCAAGGGCAAGCTGGGTGAGTTACTTTGATGGATTTTGTTGACCAGAAGCTGTGAGTCAAAATGTGTGAGAGAGCGTCAGTCAGTGAAGAACACAGAAGGAGTTGAAAGGGAAGATACATCACTAGGTATGATGGAGCATGGGGAGCTTGCAGAGAGATGAAAAACAGCACTGATGTGGACAAAGTGACAGACTGAGAGAATACTTCCTGCCACCCGATTGTTACTGTGATGCAAAATAAAACCAAACAAGAAAT